TTTTTTTTTTTTGCCTTTTTCATCGCGTGATTCTTCGAAGCTGATTAGCGGCCGACACTTTCCTGAGATCCACTTTCGTTCGTCCCTGGAGAGTAAGGTCGTCCACTCGTTAAAAGCCAATGACGAGCATGGACAGTGATCTCTAGAAATGATGGAATATTATGGGTGTCTTCGTTGGATTTCGGCGGTGAAGGGTTCCTCGTATAAAAGCATCGCGCTCGCAACGAATTCCTACGATTATTTTTCTACGCTTCTCTTCGCGCGAATCACTCGAATCCAGGTTTGACCCTCGTCGAAATGACGATGCGTATCCTCTCGTTGTTCGTGTTGTGCACGATGATCTGCCAGATCTGTCTCGCGAAACCAGCCCAAGTGTTACAGAGCCAGGAGTCGTTGAGCCCTGTAAAAGAAGCGACATCCGAAGTTGTTGGTCAGTTTGTTTACTTAAAGAAAGAACATTTGCTCTTTTTTTCTTTTTGTAATTTTTTTGGAGTAGGAGAGTTTTACATTTTTTTTATATTAAAAGACTCTTATCATTAATGAACGATGAAATGTTACATGGTCAAATAATCGTGGATTGATGATAAAGATTTTTATGTTGGCACAGGTAACAAGAGGGATCAACGATCGCCACAGTTTGGATTCCTCAATGAAGAATTCTCGAATCCGATACTATCGCGACCAGGTTTTCCTATAGTTTATCCAGCACAGGCTAGTGAATCGGAATCTTTCGCGGAATCTTCCGCAGAATCCATCAACACGAATGGAGGTCTTTCCATAGAGGAAAGTCAAGCGAATGCGCAGAGTGCTAGTTTTAATTTCGGCCCGTACTCTGCGTCTTTCAACGTTGCCGAATCTTCCTCGGGAAGCCAAAGCTTTTAACACGTCCAACGTAATTATTTATCTTTTTTCTGTTTTCCTTTCTTTCTTTCTTTCTTTTCTTTTTTTTTCAATCTACTACAATCTTTGCGCATGAATTTTTAAACGAATAATAACAATTCTTTTCTCGATTTACATTCTTATATCATATTTCTTCGTCTCAACAACATCCGCTTATTTATTAATATTATATCATATATTAAATATTCCTACAGTGTATACTTGTTACCTTGAAACCAAAACAGAATCCAAACGTTCCTCCCTACTACGTCGCTTCAGTGAGAACGCAGTTTAAAATGCGTCGTCAATTTTAATCGTATCAACTTTCCTCGAAATCCCATACACCAAAGCCCCCGCCACACAATCTTCTTCGCTATTTTATCCACACGAACGTTCCTCTCTCAGACATCGTGCTTTACTAGAGAATGCGCATCGTGCATCGTTAATTCCAATCAATTGCACGCTTTCTTTGAAATTCCATACACCAAAAACTCTATCTTTTTCTTGTACTACAACTAAGTACGCAAAATCCAAATTTTGCTCTAACTGAATCGTTTCCAAAATACCATTGCTTTCATAATACCAAATCCTAGTTTATTTTTTTCTATCTGAACCTTCTGATATCGCCTCAACGAGAACGCAATGTAAAATGATCAATTTCGATTAATTTTCCTCAAACATTCTAAATCATTGTTCACGATTTTATTTATCGTTTTATCTACATCGTTTCAATGAGAATGCAGTTTAAGACGGTGCTCGATCAATTCCAATCAATTTTTCTCAAAATCTCATTCACTAAATCCTAGTTCACGATTTTTTTTTTACTATTCCACACAAAATCTAAATTTTTGTCTAACATCGTTTCAATGAAAACGTAGCTTAAGACGCACACGATCAATTTTTCTCAAACATTCCAAATCCTAATTCACAATTTTTTTTCACCGTTCTATCTACACGAAACCCAGATATTCCTTTGACATTGCTTCAATGAGAATGCAGCTTAAGATATATATCTTATTCGATCATTTTCAAAATCTCATACACCAAATCCTAGTTCACGATTTTTTTCACTTTCCATCCACACGAAACCCAGATTTTCCTCCGACATCTCTTCAATGAGAACGCAGCTTAAGATATATATCTTATTCGATCATTTTCAAAATCTCATACACCAAATCCTAGTTCATGATTTTTTTCACGAAACTCAAATTTTCTTCTAACATCGCTTCAATGAGAACTTAGCTTAAGTTCACGATTTTCTTTTCACCGTTCCATCCACACGAAACCTAGATATTCCTTTGACATTGCTTCAATGAGAATGCAGCTTAAGATATATACCTTATTCGATCATTTTCAAAATCTCATACACCAAATCCTAGTTCACGATTTTTTTCATCTTCCATCCACACGAAACTCAAATTTTCCTCTAACATCGCTTCAATGAGAACGTAGCTTAAGACGCACACGGTCAATTTTTCTCAAACATTCCAAATCTTAGTCCACAATTTTTTTTTCACCGTTCCATCTACACGAAATCCAGATATTCCTTTGACATCGCTTCAATGAGAACGTAGCTTAAGACGCACACGGTCAATTTCAATTTTTCTCGAACATCCCAATCTCACGATTTTCTTTTCACCTTTCCATCCATACGAAACCCAGATTTTCCTCCGACATCGCTTCAATGAGAACGCAGCCTAAGATGCACACGGCGCCCGATCAATTCCAATCCCAACTTTCCTCGAAATCTCGCACACGCCAAGGCCCAAGGTGTGCGCGATCCTCTCCACCGTTCGAGACACGTGTAACAAGCAGGCACCGTTCGACACGCTCCCGTCCCGTGTCCCATAACCGAGAATATTAATTGACTTCTCGCGCGCGCGTGCAACCGCGGCACGCGCGTCGCAGCTCAACGAGCGCATCATCGTCATCATCATCGTCGTCATCATCATCATCATCATCATCATCATCGCCACCACGGGCCGTGCGCACCGCCCGAGACGAATCGATCTTCCACGCGAATCGATCTCTTCCTGCAATTCCTTCAGGCCCACATACCTACGCGTACGCTTCTGTTTACGAGCGTGGAATTCACGCCGTTGACTAATCGCCCCTCCCCCATCCCTCGATCGCGTGCTAAACGCGTCCTAATCGAGCAGCCTATTGTGCTATCCGATCCCTGGAAACGCGATTCAACTCGTGGGGACGGGAGTCAATTGGTCAACACCGGAGAGATAAATCGCGATACCATTTCCATCGTGATTCAACAATAGAAATTACGTTTGGCTGGCCGTGAATGTTGAGCGTGGTTAGCGAGAAATTCGTTCTCCTTCAGACGGTAAACACGGAATATAGAATGGAGTAGAGGGAGAGAATTCTTTCTCTTTTCTTCTGCTCCTCTTGCGTAAAACTTCCTCTCTACGTTAGGGAGATTTGATCAGGTTGAACTACTTGGTTTTTAGTTAGTCGTTCGATAGGATTGGTTGGAGAACGAGAACAATCATGGGGCACGCGATCCCAAGAATAGAAAATGGTAGAGAAACGACGAAATGATGAACGTGGAAGGAAGGAAGGAAGAATGTCCCGTTCGAAGATATTCGAGGCAATCTCGTGGTTATGGCTCGCGTGCAACGATAGGAAGTCGTAAAGCGTCCGAATACACGCTCGATACACGTGTCATTGGTCGGAAGGATCTCGAGACATCTCTTTTTCTCTCTCTCTCTCTCCTCGAGAAATGCGTGCGTAACGCGTGTCGGGTTAACGAACTTTGCCGATTATAGAAATTTACATGATTTTACGATACATTCGCTCAAACGACGGAATCGTCTCCGCGTAGATCGAGCTACGTATCATATTATATTATTTCCTCTCTGGATATTATTATATTCTCTCGTATCGTCGCGCAAATTTTACAATTTTACCGTGGTATTCCGTGTAAGAGCACAGACGGATAAAAGAAGAAGAGAAGAAGAGAGAGAAGAAAGAAAGAAAGAAAGAAAGAAAGAAAGAAAGAAAGAAAAGGCGATTATCGATCGAACGCAGGGGAGAGGAGACTTTCTCCGGAGGAGATTTCTCGATCGTTCAC